ATTGTACACAATGTCGCAAAATAAAAACTTAGTTTTCAAACTTCAATTGTTCATAACTTTTTTATTAACAACGAGCGACGGCTAAAATTTACGGATTGTTACTCAGGAAGGTGTCCTTGACAACATATGTCAAGCTCATTGAAATCGGAGGGGGGTGACCTTTTCTGTATATTTACCCTGATAATGAATCGGAGCCGACTCGCGAACAGATTGTTAGCTGAACTCGCTCTCTTGACGTGGCCGTCTTCTGCCCTCCAACTCCAAAAATTGTGACGGCTGCGTGCTTTCGCGGCAACCGTAAGCGTTGAGCAAGCGACTCAGACGCAAGCGACGTTTCAGAACCCGGATCTATCAACGCGCGGGCGAGATGAGCTTCACCGAATTTATCAAACACGGTTACGCGCGCGGTCGCTAAAATGACAACAGCGCTGCTTCTTCGATGTATTACGTGACTAGTCGTGAATGGTCTTGCCGCGTCACCAGGAGAAGCCGTGGTCGCGATCGCGTCGTGCACGGTTGTATGATGTTGACTAGAACACTTTGCGCAAGTTTTTTGAGAATTACAGTCGCTCACCGCGTGCTTGTCTAGGCAGTTGATGCACAGATTGTTTTTTTCGATTACTTTCTTCCGCTCCTTTGCACTCTTCTGCTTGTACTGTTCGCAGAACATAACGTAGTGGTTTTGAGTGCAGCACACACACCGGTTTGTCTTACCGCTCTGTTTTTTTAGCGAGATGCGAGCGCGTTGAGCGGCTTTGACTGTCCCCCTTTGTTGTTGAAGAAGCTTTTGCCATAGCTTCTAGAGTATGCATTCGATGCTCCAAGAATTTTTCAAGCTGTTCCAGAGACGGTGGATTTGTAGAGCCGCTGACCGCGTCCTCCCACTCGCTTCTTGTGCGCGTGGCCATGCGCTCCACAACCAAATGAATAAAAAGATCGGAGCAGTTTGTGATCGGCCGTTTTATCCCCTCCAGGGCGGCTACCGTGCTCAACATTCCGTGATAAATTTTGCTAAGGTCGCCTACTGTCTCGCCTTTCATCTTTGGAATCGATGAAAAGCGCGCAAGATAAGACTGCGTCAGGAGACGCTTATTTTTGAAGTGGCCTGTTAGCATTGACCATGCTCCGTCGATATTCTCATCCGTGATCGGTAAATTTCTCAGAAGATTTGCCGCACTGCCCTTCAAGCTTGTTTTCAAATAATGCAACTTCTCGACGCCTGAGATAGTCGAATCTTTATTGACAATGGAAAGAAACAGATCGCAAAACTCGGGCCATTCTTCAAATTCACCAGAGAATTCCGGTAGCCGGATGCGTAGCAATGTATCTTTCGCTGGGACGAGCTTTGATCTCTCCGTTACGACCTCTTCAGCTTTACACTGCAAAGTCCGCTCGAGATCGAGAAGTGTCGCTCGTTGCGTCAAATATGTCGTCTCGGCCACCGTAATGAAATCTTTGACAAAATAATCGGATTTCTTGACTTCGTTCCAGTAGGTGGAGCGTAATTCAGCGTGTTGCTTTTCAAACTGGGTCCACTTTTTGTCAAGCAAGGTCAACGTGGATTGGATAAGACCGAGGGTGAGCCTTGCGCTTCCCATTTTCTTCACATTGTCATGAGTGTTACTAATGCGCACGTGAAGCTCCTCCTGCACCTGCAATAACGCCTCCATACTATCTCTTTTTTTTCAGATGCTGCACTGGAAAAGCACTGAGCAACACCAGAACGATCGCGGACCGATAGCTCATCGAAGTCAGCAATCCGGCTCGAAGGACCAAAATGTTTACGTTAGAGCGCGAAATTACACGCGGGATGCGATTCCGGCGCACACACTCACAGGTTTAAGACAGTTTAAGGAAGTGAAAAAGAGTGTATCTAAAACTGGCACACAATGTAGAAAAAAAACAACAATATATATTGAAATAAAAATCAGTATACAAAACCAAAAGTGAACTATTTTTAACGCAATGCTGCCTCGGTGTGCTTTTAATTTAACGATG